CAGTGAATTTTACATTCACCCGGTCATAGATTACATTAATTATTTGAATATATATTTGGGATCACTATACTAAAGTGTGGGCATTATATTATTGTGATAATTTTCTCATTTGTCCACTTAAATCTATGTATTTGTAAAGTTTTCTCTATCTTTCTATTTTGCCATCACACCACGACTATGTATTCAATGCTCTCTATGCTTTCGTCACATGACTTGGGTGACTTGCAGCGAGCGCACTACTCCCATATTGTATTCTATATATATATAAGGTTTTAATAAAGTAATCCGAGCAAGAATAATTTACCTAATCTACGATCATCAATCACAAATCAATCAATCATATAATTTGTTTCAAATATATTATCGGAAATATCGGGTCTCCAGCTGCAGATCATGCAGATCATCGAAAAATCTTGATTAGTAAAAATTATTATCTTCACTATTTTTGTATTTTTTATGCTATTTCACACACTAGAGGATTATCTTAGTAATTTACTACTGTGTATTTAAAACCTTAACTTAGTCGGCCCGCCTAGCCCGTGAAGATGTGCGTAGACTCTCGGCCTGCCCGCCAACCGACTGATGGGTAGGGTCAGCCCGTATCACTAGTCACATTGATTGATTGATGAAAATGTAATCAATTAATGGATAAAGTAACCGGTTAGACACAAATTCTTACATTTTATATAGGGTTAAGTTGATAATCAACTGTTTGCTTTTTTAGGTTTTTTGTTCCTGGTTTTGCGCGATAATGTCGCGCAGCTATCTAGTTTTTATAGACGATTATCATGCACTTTAATCGTGACAAAAACCTATTAAAGCGATAATGATACAAGTTAATATGTTCTTATGGTTAAACATAATCATACCAATACTGCATATCGATATAAATATATTGTTATTTGGTGCAATCTCGTAAAGTTTAAATGTGAATTTCATGTTTTATTGCATTTAATGCATCGTCCAATTAATTATATTATTCTCGCTCGGATTTCATATTAAACACTCTCTTTATTAGAGATTACGAAGATACATAATGGGAATAGTGCTCCACTCCATCACTTTTCTCTCCTACTATTACATACTGTGCTCATAACAACTCTATGTACACGTGATATATCACGTGACGAAGCATAATTGAGGATCGCCAATGCTAAGGTATGGCGCGCATTTTTTTTTTTTTTTTTTTTTTCCAATAGCGGCACATTCAACTCATTACATTCAAGATCAAAAATTTTTTTTTTTTTTATAACAGCAAGTTCGAGCCCACGCTATGGTGCGGCGCATTCAACTCGGTTCACATGACAACATCAACGAGTTCGAGCCCACGCTATGGTGCGGCGCATTTAACTCGTTACACATGACAACAGGCAGGGTGCTAGGTGCTAGGTGCAATGAATGAGAGAGGGCGGGAGGGATGGGAGC